AAGCCCAGTACTTTCCTGATTTGTTGCGCGCTTGTCAGGTCCCCATTGTACATCACCTGTACAAAGTGGTCGAGCCCTTCCTGCGCGATCATGAAGCGAGGAGGAGCTGCACTTAGGAAGAGCAGGAAAGAGGAACCGCCGGTCATAACCGAAATTCTCGGCACGACCCCAGGGGATGTGAGGTTACCGACTGCACTCCAAGTGCTCCAAGTGCAAACGCGACATGTCGCCATACGATTAACTCGCAAGACGCAAGCCTCTCGCGTGCAGTGTCGGAGTGTGCGAGTGTCATCTCAGTCATGTGAGAGAGATTTTTAGCAATACCAAACAAATCTAACACTCACACGTAGCCCGGCCAACCCTTCTCCCACAAGACCGGCCACGGCTACGTCAAGGCGCATCGCGGTTTCTACCACGACGCGATCTTTGTCAAGCGCAACAACTTCAACCTGCTGCTCCACGAGACGTTCGGCGGCGGCTTCTCGCCCACCGCCGTTCTCAAGCTGCGCCGCCTCGCGCGCAAAGTCGCGCGCGGCAGCGTCGACCGCACGGCCTACTCGCCCAAGTACTCGCTCTCTTTTATGTCCCACCATGCAGAGCGCATCTCTCTCTCTCTGTTGTGCGAGGCGTGAACCGCGCCATTCGCTCTCACCTGGCAACCCTGTCTGCACGTCTCGCGCGCGCGTGAACAGGGCGCTGTGGGGGTCTGGCGCGCCCCCGCGCGCGCAGAGCGGCGCCGCGCGCTGCGAGGCGCGCGCGGTCCTGCGCGCGCGCGGGGCGGCCGCGCGCGGCGGCCGGCGCGGCGCGCGGCGGCTGTGCGCGGCGCGGCGCGGCTCTCCACTCTCGGATCGGGCGCCTGTCGCAGAAGTTGAAGAGATCCTCCAGCGACGGACCGAGCAGGTCCATCACCATCACGTTGTAATCCCCCTCGACGGTGAAGGAGCGGACGGTAGGGATGCCCACGCCGCCGCCCAGAATCTTGTACAGCTTAGACTCGTACAGCAGCTGCGGGTGCTTGCTCTTGATCGACTCCAGCTTGATCGCCACTTCCTCGCCGGTCGAGATGTGCGTGCCGAGGTAGATGTCTCCGAAGCTTCCCGAGCCGATCTTGCGGCCGAGCCGGTACTTGTTGGCCACCCTAATCTCCATGGTTGCCATGGCAGCTGCGCCCCCGGCCCGGAGGCCGCGGGAAGCGGTTGTGGAAAAAGCTGGGTCCGCCGCCTTGCAGGCTGAGGCGGAGGGCGGGCCTTCGGGTGGAGAAGAATTCCGCGGCGCTCCATGATGACGCGTTGGCCCCTCCGCAGGCGGCCTAAGGCAGGCGACTGGGGTTCCAAAATGTGATCACAAATGGGCCGATTCCAGCGCACGCGCACCTGACGTCCCTCGCCACCTTGCGGGCCGCGCGCGCGGACTCCTCGAAAAGAATCCCGCCAGCGGGGCTAGCGCCCGATGCCAATCATCCGGCTCGCTGGGTGCGCTTCTCAGCTCCCCGGCCCCGCATGTGAGGTTAATAACTGCACTCCAAGTGCTCCAAGTGCTCCGGATAGCTCGCAAAGGATCACAACACACGTTGGGACCCCACCCACCCAGCGCAACAACACAAACAAATGTCCCACCATGCAGAGCGCATCTCTCTCTCTGTTGTGCGAGGCGTGAACCGCGCCATTCGCTCTCACCTGGCAACCCTGTCTGCACGTCTCGCGCGCGCGTGAACAGGGCCTTAAACCTCCATAAACATCATTGTGCAGGGGCTCCAGGCCCCAAATGA